AGTTACCGAGTCAGTTCTTTAAAAATTTCTGCCTTCCCCACTTGTGATCATCCTGTTTGATTTTTTGTCATCCATACTTTTATGTAGCCGTATCATTTTGTGAAAAGCAATGTTTTAATGATAGTAGGGCTTCAATATGATAGTACAGGAGGTCACTGTAAAGTAGGTAATAAATGTCCTTAAATATCAAACCGGTTAGTATCTAACACTCACAAATTCATAAAATAAGTTGAATTGGTATACAAATAGAAAATAACACCATAGGCAATATCATTTTCTACCTTTGTAAGGGGCAGGACTACCCTTCAGGTACTAGGCTTGATTTTTTTTTTTTTATTGTTATTCAAGTACAGTTTTCTGCCTTTTCCCACCACACCTGTCCTTCCCACCTCCCTCCCCTTGTTACTTTCCATATGTCCTTTATAATTGTTCTTGTAAACCCTTCACCCTTTCCCTCCATTATCTCCTCCCCTCTCCCTTCTGCTATGCTTGATTTTTCATGTATATTTTAACAGCAATCAGGTTTAGTTCATACGTACACAGAAAATCATGAAATCCAAACTAGTTAAAGAGCTCAGAATGGACAAAAGTCAAAAGAAATCAAATGGTTAACCCCTTGCCTAAACACACACACACACACACACACACACACACACACACACACACAAAAGCCCTGTTTTGCAAAGAAAATGAAATCTCAAATAATTCAATGACTTTTCAATGAATTTCTGCAACTGAGTGGTTTTCAAACTTTCTAAACTATACTCCACAGTAATATACAGGGTAAGGAAAAAGTAAGTTTACAGTTGTTCATACAGAAAATAATACAAGAATAAACTGTTTCATATACTTACAACTCTAAACCTGCTTTTGCTCCACTCTGTATTTTTTCCATTCCATTTGCTGTTTTTCTGCCTTCCCCATCAGCAACCCCTTCACATATTCTGTATTTTTCTTCCTCAAATCACAATTGTATATATGTTTAGAAATTTGGGTTTCTCTTAAGACTAAGACTATTTTGTGAGCAGAAGTCAGAAACACCTGCAGTGTTTGAGTAAGGATTCTCCCATCTTTGAGTTTTGATGTATTATCCTCCCAGTCAGAAGTGTTAATTATTTTTATATTATATATAAAGAAAGGATTTGCATAGTAGATATGCAGTTTATTTGAAGTTATGGAACGAATGCGTGAACAATTAAAAATTATGGCATTTAAACACCCCTGAATATGTTATGAATTGATAACTTATATCACAGACCTTGACTCTTTTTAAAGCTAAGAGCCCTTTTTTTTGTTTTTCAGGGTTTTTCATGTTTGTTTGTTTGGTCTAGTTATGGCTTTCCTAGCCCCTAGAACATATTCTACCTGTCACACTCTCCTTTCTTTCACTGAACATTTTTTATATTATTATTTATATGACTTTACTAAAAGATAAATATACAAAACAAAATTTCATGACATAATATTTAAGCTATGGTGAACAAACATTTACTGGTTGAAACACTACTTTCTAATGCAGTTTTTCAAACTGTGGGTTTTGTGATTCAATTAGTGGGTAGAGAAATCAGTTTAATGGGGCATGATAAGCATTTAAAAAATTGAGTTCAATAGGAAATAATCACTGCAAATACTACATACAACACACTAAAATTAAATCTTGCCTGTTTTCTTTTGTTTAAAGATTAAATAAATAATAACCCAAGATTAAAGAGAATCCAGAAGAGCATTTTAAGTCCATTTGTACCTGAAATCCTAACACTAGAGAATTAATCTTTTCTAAGAGCTTCCCCAGAATACTTCCTTTAAATGTCTGGTGATCCTAGCAGAGAAAATCATGGATGATAAGGGTCTTCAGGCCAAAGCTCTTTAAGGCTAAGAAAGAAGCATACTATAGATTGGGGGGTGAGGTGGGGGTGGGGGAATCCAAATTATCTTAAATGATTTCAGTCAAGCCAAACCAGAATTCAAGATGAGGGTTGTCAAAAACTAAAAATAATAGCCTCCCATTTCAGAGAGAGAAATTTTAATTGAGCTGCAAACCTTTAAGGAATAGCAAACTCGGCCAGGTTGGGCACTCTTCTATATACAAGCAAATGGCTGACACAGACATTTCTTATTTTAACAATACAGAGAAACACTATTATTTGGTATGCAATTTACAAGCAACTAACATTTCAGTGGTCTTTTAGTAACTCTCACTTTCCTTTCCAAATACTCATTTCCTTCCCTTTCTCTGACCTCAAACAGCCCACAAATATTTTATAAAGAAAATTTATCTAAGTGATGATAGTTATTGGGAGTATGTGCTCACCAGTTGTATTTCATCAGAGGTAAACAGTTATCAAAGCTAACTTTAAACTAGCATCCTTCTCCCTCAACAACACTTTCAGTACATTTTTACTCATTTCATTCAACTTTATGAAACAAGTTATAACAAACTCACCAAAGATTTATTCTGAAAAGGAATCTTAAAAAATCTCTAAATAACTAATGATACACAACAGCTATTTTTACAGTGATTTTTCCATCCTCCAAAAGTGTATTTTACACTTTAAGTTATACTTTAAAAGAGTATTTACAATCACAGTGGCTGTGGCCAAATAACCGTGTATCTCATGACTCTGCTACAATAACGCATTTTCTATAACCTATGTTCATACAGGAACAAAATTCACAAATATATCTTTAACACTGTATGATCTTTTTTCTTTTGATTTTTGAAAAGAAAACCAAATGCTGCTTCAGCAGCAGGATATTACTAGTTATTCCTTTCAAATGATGGGAGAATCAGGAATGTGGGGGGTGGGGAAAGAAGGAAAGAGTATCTTTTTTACACACTTGAAAATCTTTTAATATTTTAAAACAAAAATGGCAAACTTGTGTACAGAGTAAATGGATTTAGATCACCAGAGGAACAACAAATAATAACCATGGAAAATAAAACTAACAAGTCCAAAGAAACACAAAGACTATGGCTGAACTGTTTTCATTCGTAATTTTTAAAATTTTATATTTAGTTAGGGACATGAGACAGTTCTCTGGGTATCTGATCTCAGCCACGTTACTCAAAGGCCTGGCTTTCCCCAAAGCTACATTTTACTGAATTATAAGAGGAAGAAGCTAGCTCTACATGGAGAGTCATAAAATCTAACCTACATTTTGTCTCATTTCTACTTTCATCACTACTATAAATTCATCAGTGAGGAAGCATTTCTTCATACCTGTAATTGTAGATATAAAGAGTAAGAAGAGCAGAATATACTTCTTTAACATGGCAGAGATACTGTTGCAAGTTAGATAAAAATCAAACTTTCCAATATTTTTTCCTTTTAAAAGACCTAAAGTATTTCACAAATTCTAAATTTCTAACAGATACAAACAGCCAGTATCCCCAACCCTCTCAACTCCTTCCCACCTAGTTTAGGCATAAATGCAAAGGTCTAAAGCTTATACTATGATTATTTACACAACAAACAGCATAATGAATAAAAGATAAAAACTGACGAAGATTCTCGAAGATTCTCCCCTTAACCAAACTCTAGTCAGGCTCCTCTGAGCTCTCTTCTCAACCAGGCCTCAACCTTGGCCTAAAAAAACTATGGACTCTTAACACAAATAACTTCATCCACACCTCTCACCCAACATTAAAAGATTTTAAACAAATGCTAACAGTTTTTAATAGCTCAAGGCCCCATCCCTAGGTTAACCATAGCACCTTTTAAATTGCCTGCCTAGGAAAGCTCAAAACAATTTAAGATTTGTCATAGCCAACGCCTGACTACAGGGCCCTGAGCAACCTGTCATAGAGCATTTATTAAAGAGAGTTTACAACTGTGAATCCTTCCTCTGCTCCTTTGAGATGTAGTACATGTATCTCCTACAACTCAGGAGATTTTTCTCAAGGACACAGGAAAGCCATTCTTTTAAAAGGTAATCTTCAGTAAGGATAAGGCCTCAATCTCTCAGTTTCTGTACCAGGATAAAATCCTAACTGTTATGGTTGTCGGCTAAGAGACACAGCCAGCCCTATCATACACACTGACCACCCCTTTATAATCTTTCACTTCCCTGACTCTACTGAGCCAAGATAACAACTCCTGTCTACTCTCACTCTGCCTTTAAAACATCCAGTCCCTCCGCACAAACCCAAGTTGAGTTCAGTTCACACAGGACCTTCTTCCCTATTGTAGCAGCACATTACTGATAAAGATCTGTCCTTACTACTTTAACTAGTGTTTGGGTTTATCTTTGACAAAAATAAAGTAATAAAGAAGAAATGTTAAACATATCTCAATTAGTAAAGACTTAATACTTTCTATAATATCCTTTAGATATAAAGTTCTTTTTTAAAAAAAGAAAACATGAAGGCTTCAATTTTACGAAGGAATCATAATTCACGAAGTCAACCGATCAGCATTCGGGGACAGGAAAAGGTGCCTGGCAAACACCAAGCCCCAATTCTTCCAGTTACAAATGATGAATAAAAGATCCAAAGATATTAAATGATATACCCAAGGTAATTTGAATGAGGGATTGGATTAAAAATAGCTAACTGTGCATCACCATCTTCCAAACCAACATGAAAATATTTTTTACCCCATCCCACATACCTTTTCTTTTTTAACATATTCTTCGTCTTGCATTCTCATTGGTAAAGGCAATATTCACCATTAATCATTCAATACCAAACATGAACATATATTACTCTAGTACAACATGAGATTTTACAATTCCACTGTATGCCAACAACTCTACAATGAATAAAGTTTGTTTGGTGCAACTGTACACATAAGATTTCATTACACTCAGGGAAGACTATTTCAATAGTCCTAGGCAAATACATGAAACACCTTGGTGAAGAGAAACAGCTTTCACACACAAGCAAAAAAAACAAAACCCCATGCATTCAACCCAAAGGAGGGTCAAATGATTTAGATACTCTTAAAAATAACCAAAAGCAGAAAAATAAAAGTAAATTTAAAATCCTCTTCTGCACTTACCAGCAAAGCATTTGGAACAGAGGTTCATAGTCTTGCTGGACCTAGGGCAAAAGAGAAAAAAAGAGCAAGCTAAAAATTCAGTATCACTGGTCAGGCAATGGAACTAATAAACAATGGTAAGTCCCTAACCAGCCACACTCTCCCACAACACAACAAAACAAAAACAAACAAAACACAATGCTTTTTATTTGTGACTTATCCAGTGCATTATTTTTTGTGACAGGCAGTTTAAGATGACACAGGAGCCAATTTCTCCCACATGACTACCACATTCCCATCCATGTTCACACTGGAACATATACCACAAAGTTATCACTACAAACAAAAACTTTGTCTGAAAAGGAGTAAAACTTTCTCCTCGTATATGCCCTCATTTATTTCTACAGCATTATTTGAACTTTTATCCCATCTTCTTTCCCCTTATTCTAGTCCTATTTCAGATTCTGGTCACATTATGAACTTGTTTAAAATGCTTTCTGCAGACATTCCCAATCAAATTATTTTTCATGTCCTTTCATCTGTTAATAGCTACAATTCACTGAATAATAACTTGGATGGGCACTTCACATACATTATCTTAATCTTCCCAACATCCCTGAGATGGGCATTTATTACAATATTGCTTTGCTTTGAAAATGCACTATTCAAGAAATCACACTGACATTTGTACAACGAGGAAACATACAATTGGCTACAAGGGATGACTAAATTACTGAGAAAATGTTCCCACCACCACTTCCTCCAAGGAGTCTTAAATTGAGAGGTCTTAGGAAATCAAAGACATACAGTCTCATGCCCATTTGACAGGTGATCAGCTTGCCCAAGGTCACACAGTTGGAGAACTGCAGAGGAAGTATGTGACCAGAGTACTAAGCTAATTACAAAGGCGATTCTGCCATCCTTTGTTCACAACACAGCACAGCACCTGGCACCATACAGCAGCCCAGGCACAACATGACAGGCACCTGTTTATTTCTTCTCAATGCTGTTTCCCTTCCTGATTCTCTTCCAAAGAGACATTCCTACAGCTTTCTTCCAAAAGCCTCCTAGAATACTGCATGTTGGATAAGCTGACCTATTTATAGCCTCATTCTCACCAACTCCCCTCCTAATATGTTAGTCTTTGCCCAGAGCTGATCCTACATATGAAATAAACCAACTTTCTTCTGCACTCCCTAGTGAATTTGATAATTAATGAAAGCCTCCCTCAGGAAGTATGCCCTGATGACTATGACTGTATTCCAGTGCACGGGAACCGAAGACCTAATGGTTAGTTTAACTGTCATAGGGTGACAAAATCAGGAAATGGGGGGTGCTCATTACTTCTCTTTCCCAAAGGAGATGCTATGTTAACAGGTGGATCTTCCTTTAAGATTCTGCTTAATATAAAGACACAAAAGGAAGTAGGAAATTTAAGTACCAATAAATGCATAAAATGAATAAATGAACAAAGATGTATTATTAGTAGAACCTAACAGTTTTTACGTGCCTACTATGTGGTAAGCATGATACCAGATGCCTTCAACTTGAACTTCCCTGACTCTAATGAGGAAACTTCCCTGACCAAATGAGGAAACAGGCTCCAAGGGCTATACAACTTGCCAAAGGTTACAGAACATGTAAATGTATGAATCTGATCTGCCTAACTCTAAAGCCTGTGTTCTTCTCACCATGTCCCTCCAATACTGAAGGAAAAGGGTAATTTGGGAAAATGGTCCCACAACTAAAGATGTAATCTATAGAAATGAGGTCAGCTCCCTAAGAAAGTAAAGTCTTTCTTATGGTGAAAGCACAATGCCTGTCCTCCCCTCCAAAAACATGTACACACTGCAGGGAGCAAACACAAGGCTGCTAGTTCCAATGCACAGATCTAAAGATAAAGAAATTCCTTTGCTACCAGAACTCCCGCCAGGGAAGCAGGCCTCTCTCCCAGATGTGGTTCCCCTCTCTTACACATGCACTGCCACTAGAGTCAAAGGTACCTAGTTTGTCACCTCCGCCACTCCCCACTGTCCAACGGGAATCATGAAAAGTCTACAGAGAACAACCGAGGGTAGATCAGCACCAAGTGTGCTAGTTTTAACATCTGTGTAAACTGGTAAGAAAAAAATGAAATTGCAAAATAGCATTTTTCTCTTCATCCTCTTATCTGCAGATACTTCATGTATTTAAAATATTCATAAAACCTATACAATACCTAAATGACATATAGGATTTTAGGATTTTTTTCAGCAATATGTTTATCAATCAGATTATAAATGAAATAATATAGCTACCTGGTACTATTAATCAAAACAGAGATGTCTGAAATTTGAAATAAACCAGATTCTGGCTACAGAAATAATCCCTACTGGTAATGCCAACTTAGAACCCGCAGGTCAACAAAAACTGGTGGAGGCTTCTAAGAATTTTGCTCCTTTCTCATTTTAACACGTAAAACTTGAAGTTAACCACAGGCATACAACTACTGACTGCCCATGTGATCGATATGCACAATCTTGGGACAAACAGTTCTCTATGTGGCAGCAAACATGAAAGGTAAAATATGATTCTCTAATGGCCCCACTACTCCCCCCAAAATCGCTCTTACTGAGCTCTCTAATGGCTACCATGTTTTTAAAAACAATGTTTAGTAGATTGGATAATAACCACCTAAAGATACAAAATCCTAATCCCTGGAATATACCTTATTTGAGGAAAAAAGGTCTTTGCAGAAGACCTAAGAATTTTGAGCTTACCCTGTATTATCCATTTGGGCCCTCAATGACATTACAAGTGTTTTTGTGAGAGGGAAAGGAAGTTTACAGAGACGCACAGAAAAGACACTCAGTGAAGATGGAGGCAGAGACTGGAGAAATATAGTCACAAACCCAGGAATGCTGGGCCAGCTATTAGAAGGTGGAAAAGGCAAAGAACAGATTCTCCCCTAGACGCTCACATCTCCAAAGGGAATCAGACACCCCCGATCACTCACATACCACCAACCCTCCAAGGGAAGTCAGTCCTGCCAGATTTTGGACTTCTAGCCTCCATACTTTAAGAGAATTACTTCGTGTTTAAGCCATCAAATTTGTGGTAATCTGTTATAGCAGCCTCAGAAAACTAATATACAGTTATGTCTCTGATTTCAACTTAATCACTTCTCTCAGCACTATTCAACCAGATTCTTCTTGAAACTCCATTTTTGCCTTCTTGTCACTTAGATTCTGGATCAAATTTGCCCCTACCCTCCAGTTTTCCTCCCACCTCACTGCTTCCTTTTAGCTACCTTTTCTGACTCCTTCTCCTCCATCATCAAGACTTTGTCTGGAGGTCCAGGACTCAGTCCTCATTAATGCTACTTCTTGCTTAGTGATCTCATACAGTCCCATGGCTTTAAATAAGATATATATAAAACACTTCACAAATGTTCGCCCTCATCCCAGACCTCTTCACCTAGCTCCAAACATAATATATCTAACTGCCTATATCTAACATCTCAAATCCAACATTTCAAACTAGAACTCTCAATATTCCCCCCAAATGTACATGACCCATTTTGCCCACCGTGTAAAAGGCAATACATTTTTCCCAGTCACTCAACTCAAAATCCTAGAAACCAACTTTGATTCCCATCTTTCCAGTAGTCTCTCATACACAATACTCAGCGAGATTCATTAGTTCTATTTCCAAATAGACCGCAAATACATCTACTTATCTCCTCTGTGAACACCTCTACTCTAGCCACCATTAACTCACACTTGGACCTGTGTAAGTGACTTTTTACTTGTCTCCCCATTCCCACTCTTGACCTTTCACAATTATTTTAAACATAGCAGCCAGAGTAATCTTTTAAAAATAATTTACATCGTGCTATTTTCAGGCTCAATGCCATCCCGATAGTATTATCCAACCTACTAAACTCAAACTTCTTACCAAAGCCCTCAGGTCTCCTCATGATATTACTCTCCCTACCTCCCCCCTCTTTATTTCTTAACATTATGCTCCTCTTAATTACCATGGTCCAACCACACAAGACTTTCTTCTGTTCTAGAATGTGCTGTAGCATTCTTGCCAAATTTGTTCCCTCTATCCTTAAATCACTGCAGGACTGACTCTTTTTTTTTTTTTAATTGATTATGCCATTACAGTTGTTCTATTCCCCCCTTCATTCCCCTCCACCCTACCCCCCTGTCCCCACCATTACCCCCCCTTTAGTTTATGACCATGTGTCTCAAGTTCTTTAGATTCTATATTTCCCATACTATGCTTGCCCCCCCATCTATTTTCTATCTACTGTCTATGCTACTTATTTTCTGTACCTTCTCCCCCCTTCTCCTCCTCCCACTCCCCTGTTGCTAACCCTCCTTGAGATCTTCATTTCTATGTTTCCACTCCTGATCTAGCTGTCCTTTTAGTTTGCTTTTGTTTTAGGTGTAGTTGTTTATAACTGTGAGTTTGTTGTCCTTTCGCTGTTCATATTTTTTTTAACTTCTTTTTCTAAGGTAAGTCCCTTTAACATTTCACATAATAAGGGCTTGGTGATGATGAACTCCTTGAATTTGATCTTATCTGAGAAGCACTTTATTTGCCCTTCCATTCTAAATGAAAGCTTTGCTGGATAGAGCAATCTTGGTTGTAGGTCTTTGGATTTCATGACTTGGAATACTTCTTTCCAGCCCCTTCTTGCCTGGAAGGTGTCTTTTGAGAAATCCACTGACAGTCTGATGGGAACTCCTTTGTAGGTGACTGTCCCCTTAGCTCTTGCTGCTTCTAGGATTCTCTCCTTCATTTTAATCTTGGCTAATGTAATGATGATGTGCCTTGGTGTGTTTCTTCTTGGGTCCAACTTCTTTGGGAGTCTCTGAGCTTCCTGGATTTCCTGGAAGTCTATTTCCTTTGCCAGATTGGGGAAATTCTCCTTTATGATTTGTTCAAATAAGTTTTCCACTGGTGGCTGTGCCTTTCCCCCTTCTGGTACCCCTATAATTCGGATGTTGGAATGTTTAAAGATGTCCTGGAGGTTCCTAAGACTCTCCTCATTTTTTTGAATTCTTGCTTC